CCCCGAAGCCCCGCCGCCCTGCGCGCCTAGCCGGGACGCTGGCCAGGGCGAGCGGGTGCCAGCTCGCGTACGTGTCTGTGTCCACCTGCCCTGGGAAATCCCAGGGTCGCGAAGTTACAGGGCGTCAGGGGGGAGGAGGAGCTGTTTTCCATGTAGGAAACTGGCGCGCGGCAGCAAAAGGGAAGATGGGAGGATCCGAGTCCCAGTGGAAGGACAGTGGCTCAGCGCCAGCGAGCTGCGTCTCCCAGGACTGCCGCTATGGCCTCCCGAGTCCCTGTCTGAAGCACGGTTTCCTTCTCTGCAAACCGGGTAATAGGCTCACCCTCAGAGTTGACCTGGGGATTACATTCAGTGCTTCTGGAAGGTGCCAGTGGACCCCCCACATAGGAGCGCCTCCCTGTCGTAAGGTGCTTGGTTACTTAAGACAATGTAGACTCCCTTCTGGAGGTGCAGGCAGGAGGGCTGGGGGGGTGGACTCAGTTCAGAAAATCAGGATGGTTGGTACAGGTTTGCTTTCTTTCGAGTAGCAGGAGGTCTTCTCCATTGCTCTGGTCCCTCGAAGTTTATTGAGTACTAGGCAGGCATGAGTTCTACCACTGAACAGTTGGGAACACTGAGGCCCGAGGGACATGATTTGCTCCCCAAGGTAATAACCAGTCACTGGAAGAACTTAAATTCTCCATTACAACCCTTTACAGAGTGGGCGGAGACAGTCCTGGCCCTTGACAGGCTCTGGGGAAGGAGGGTGCACTTGAAGAGTGGGGTGGGAGAAGGAGGCTGTGGAATATGACGAAAGTAGAAATGGCTGAAAAAGGGGAGTCCCGTCAGCTTAGCTGAGCACCCAGGTGCCGAATGCCAGTCCCTTTCCCCCAAATTCTTTCCCACAGTCTTGGCCCCTCCCAGTGCCTCAGTGCCCCAATCTATGAAACCGGCAGAGAGTTGCAACCTCCCCGCTTTCTCCCTAGGCCCGATCAGTACAGCCTGGTTCTGGCTCTTCCCCCACCCTTGCCTGAGTGTTGTTCCAAAGGCTCATTCATTCAGCAAACCTTTATTGATTTTCTCCTACATGCTAGACAAGGTGCTGGAGTGCTAGACACTGCAGGGGTGGGCGTGGGAGGGGTCTTCTCAGTCTGGGGGCGGGGAGGCAGACATGTAAGCAAACACCACCACAAGGCAGAGTGTGATAAGGGCTAGGGTGGCAAGGTGGACCTTTTTGATCCCTGGGTGACAGCCCGGTCACACTGACCTGGCTGCCGGCAGACTGCCATCCACCTTTGGCCACTCATGTCCTAGATGCCCCACCAGTGCCCCTGCCCTGCCTTAACTGGGCCCAAAGCATTCCCCGTGATGAATCAACAGGAAAGAATGCTCTCAGCCTTGGGTCGGTGGCAGCAGCAGTAGCCCAGCCCCTCCCCCAGGGACAATGAGGCAGCTGTGGGCTGCGGTGCCAGGTATGCCTCGGCCCACTCCCCATGCCCAGCTACCTCTCATGCCTGGCCAGGAACAACATAGAGGGCTCGGAAACATGGGCCCCGCCTGCTGCCAATCACCGGCCTGGCTGCCCAGAGCTAAAAATACCCTGGAAGCCCAAGAATGAATGGATGTTGCCCGGAAGTCCTGTAACCTGCAGCACTCTGGGCAGAGGCTGAGGCTGGGGAGCAGTGGAAGGAGGGATATCTCAGGGTGTCCCTGTCAGTCCCCCTCCTTGAGAAGTGAGAGGCTTGATTCCCAGGCCCAGCCCCGTCCTTGACTAGTGGTGAGATTGTCTCAGCTGAGTGGCCATCTCCTCATCCTTAAATGCTATTGCTGTGGGGGTCACATGGGACAGTTCCTTTCATGTCAATAAGCTTTGAATTGATAGAGACTGCCTGCTTCCTCCTTTGTGCCTGACTGTGCCCACAGCCTCAGCAGCTCTAAGACCCTCTGCTGCACTCTTGATGTACAGGTCTGTGTCCACCTTGACTTTGGGGGCCCTTTGAACTTCTTATTTATCTCTAAACCCAGATTCTATCACAGGGTTTGGTACATAGAAAGTGCTCAGTAAGTGCTGGTGAATTAAATAAATGGACCTACTTTGCGCTGGTTCTTGAGACAGAGCTGGAGAGATGAAGACAAGCCAGATGTGATCCCTGTCCTCAAGGAATTTGCAGAGCAGTGGGGGAGACAGATCCAAACCAACCAAGAGACAAGACATCATTGTCATCATAATGACGGCTAGCAGGAGTGGAGCAGTTATTCTATGTATTATCTCGTTTAATCCGCTTAAAATCCCTGTGGACAATACTTTCATCACCCTCCTTTTACAGATGATGAAACTGGAGCACAGAGAGGTTAAGTGATTTTTCCAAAGTCACACAGCTGTTTTCTGCAGAGGGTAGCAAGTAGTAAACTGTAGTGGAAGCACATGCCTGTGAGAGTCCAGAGGAGGGAAGTCTGAGGATTGAAGGCTTCGTGGAAGGAGATCCTTGAAGAATAAATACTATTCACTAGGTAGAGAGGTGGGAAAGTGGGGTGGTCACGAATAAAGCTTTGGAAGCCACAGAGAGCACTGTAGGTCTATCTGCACGGATTTACTAAAGTCAGGAATAGCCAAGATGCAGGGAAGGAAGGAGAGCAGTTTGGTCCTTGGATGTCAGAGGGGTAGGGAGGCAAAGTATCAGGAGATATCCCATCTCCCTTTGCCCCTCACCCAGTCCTACAGGGCCCCAGGGTATAAGCATCACCATCTGTCCGCTTCTCCCAGGTTGAGGAGCCGGGAGGTTGAACAGTAAGTAGCTAACATGAATCTCTTCCCCACTGGGCATTCCTCAACCCTTCCCAAGTCAGGGCCTGTGCTTTCCTTCCAAGTGAGAAGGCCAGAACCTCCTGCAGAAAGCTATGACCTAGGGATGTTGCCAGCAGCACCCAGGGAGAACCTGGCTAACATACCCAATGCCATGCCGGCTTGGCAAACTTTCCCCTTAAGCAGCCTTCAAGACTCAGTGCAGCCCCACCTCCTTTGAGACTCGGTATGGAGGAAATTGTACAGCTTGATACTCAGGGGACCAGAGTTCTAATTCTGACTGAACTGTGTGGCCTCAGGCAAGTCATTTCGCCAAGCCCCAGGTACAGACTCCCGCATCCATTTGTCCTGCCTTTGCCTCCCTGCCCCTCTGACATCCAAGGACCAAACTGCTCTCCTTCCCTCCCTGCATCTTGGCTATTCCCGACTTCAGTAAATCCGTGCAGATAGACCTTCCTAACATGTTGTACCCTAGCTCAAGAATCTTCAATGGCTCGCTGTTGCCCACAGATACCCCACTGTTGGCCCTCCTGTTCCTTCTACTCCTTTCCTCTTCTGAGTTCATTTTCCATGTTCTGTCTATCCTTCAGGCCTAACTCAGCTTCCAACTCCTTGCAATTTGTCTATGAAACTATGTATGAATTCTTTTAAAGTATAAGGTGCTGGAAGTCATGCAGCTGAACCAGGTGCAATCCCTGCCCTCGAATTGCTCACCACCTAGTGAGAGAGATGACTCAAAGACACAGCATTGATGGGAAGTAGCTTGTGATAACAGAAAATGGGACAAGTGGGGAGAAGAGACCATTTAGACATAGGACAGGCTATTCCTTGGCTGAGAGCTGTTTAACCAGGTGCAGGGCTGTTCAGGGAGGCGATGGGAGCTGCGGGGACTTTGAGAAGTCTTGGGGGATTGGGGAGTGAAGAGATGGATCTAGCCAGGCTGGAGGGGCTAGCCAAGGAGATGGTTTCTGGGAACAAAGAAGAGACGAGCTGGCTATAGTAAGGAGAGGAAATTGGAGGGGAGAACAGAGTTGATCAAATAGAAATTTTAGGAAGTTTTGCTTTGTGATATTCAATGTCACATTCCCCCATTCTTCTGAAACCTTCAGAAAAAAATCTCCATTACTTAATAATGTTTGCAATTGGATGGGCCCACCCCAGCATTTGCAGGTCATGGCCTTAAGTCAGAGGCCTCATACCTTATGTGTAAGTATCTAAGAGTTAAAAATCAAGCTACTCATTGTCAAATAAGACACAGTCTCTCCTTTTGCCTTGACAAATGCACTATTTGAAAGGCCTGTAAGGCCAGGTTTGAATGCAGAACTTTCCAGTCCTTGGAATTCTGTATGGAACATGTTATTACGAGGAGTGTCTAACCCTGGCCCTGAGCCCCGTGTGGCCCACCCCCTCCTTCTCTCACCCTACACAGCAAGGGGCCTTCTGCTGTGACAGGAGCATGTACAAACTGGGCTCCGTCTAGACTTTCACAGTAGCTGCCTTTTGGCCACCCTGAGCCTGGATGCGCATCCTGGAGGAGCAGTCTGCACTCAGGAGGAAGGGCTGGAAGCAGGCTCTGGCCCCTTGGGCAAGAATTCATGGAGCACAGGTGTGGAAATGAGGTGGGGCTTCTAGTGGGCACATCCCTTTGGCTATGTTATCTCTGTGCTCTGTGAGAAGGGGCACGATTGGACAAGGGCCATGGTGATGCCCTCTAAAAGCATGGAGGACCAGAGGAGGGACCCTTTGTCCAGGTCTAAGGACAGCTGTGGGAGGTGGGAGGCAGGAGAGACAATATGAAGGTAGGAACATGGCTTAGAGGTGGTTCCTGGGAGTGGGGATGGGGTGTCAAGTAACTCAAGTTATGTTTAGAGAGCTGTGGTCCATTTGACCCCAGAGCCCGGTGGGAGCCTCACCTTAGCTTGGCAAGTTTGGGGGCACTAAAGCTTTCTGAGGAGGGTAGGGAGTTGGGGTGGGGGACTGATTAGAGCTGGGCTACAGGACTTTAATCTTCCATGGTGCTGTCTTGAGCTGGTATTTAACTCTTCACAGATTCATACTTTTCATGGGGGTGGGGAGTAGTCTAGGGAAAGGAGGTGTCTTGGAGGGAGCACAGAGAGGATCTTAAAAATCTGTAAGCTGCTAAAAGGCAGAGAACCCAACTTAGATACCC